TTTCCTGACTGAATCCAGCACATTTCATAATGCTGAATTCATTCAATACTATTCTCCATTGGTGTACACATCCTCCCTTTCACAGGTTTTATTTTTAATAGATGAAAGTGCATATGTGTAATTTTCTCCCTTCCAACCCAAACCATTCTATGATTCTCTAGGCTTAACCTGCCAGCACGTGAGCCAGGCAGTGGATGTGCATCATGTGAAGAGAGCAGTATCTCAGAGTGTTTGGTCAATATGCGCAGAATGTCTGAAGGAGAGGCGGATGAGTGATGGTGAGCCCGTGGCACCTTCAGACATATGGCTGTGTCTCAAATGTGGCTCTCAGGTAAGCATAGGTTGGAAGTTTACAGAGGTGGAAAGGCCCTGGTTTTCTGAAGGATATGATCAGTGTAGTTCCTTGTCTGTTTGGCATCTCATTATCCACAGTGAAACAGTGTGACGTAAGTGCTCAGTTGTGATATTCCATGCTTCAGCTTCTTCAGTGGAGTGGGTTTGGCCTTACATTCTTCTTGTCTGGCTTTCGGCAGTGTTTTGGGTTAGCTTTGTGTATTATGGTGCGGTTCAGTGTCACAAGTAGGAAGTGACGGTCCTGTCTTTTCTCTGTTCTTTATCTGCATGCTCTTGCCACTTACAGAGAATTGGCTCCAGGAACTGGATGGTTGCAAAATGCATCCGTTCTGCTGGCTTATCTGGCAGAAGATCCCACAAATAGAAGTGAATGAAAAAATGGATATACATATTGCTGAATCAACTTATACTAGGGACGCTCTATTGCTAAATTCAATTGAAACCAGGGAGAAAGGACTGTGCAGGAGTGAGAATGCTGCCTTTTGTGGCAGCTAGCCATTAGATGGTGTCAGTTATAATGTCAAATCATGGCCTCATGCTTTAAAATGGCAGGTCCTGACCCCAAGGGCTTGCGCAGGTTTCTGTCCCGTGGGTGAAGTAAAGCCTGATACAGAAGAAATCAGTTTACAGGCAACGTCACGCTTGGTTCAGCTAATGGTTGCCTGAACAAAGCATTTCATCTTAGACTTCAGTAGGTCTGGCAGATAAGGACAGAAGCCAGGTCCTACCAGTATTATCTGAACAGATTTAATTTTGCAAAGAAACGCTGTTAGGCTTCAGAAGATAGTTGGCTGGATCTGAGGAGGACTCATATGGCTTGTTGCTGAAAATTTGTAGTGAAGGTGGGCTTTTAAAAGGAGTTAAATCCGTGTACTTTTTCACGTTGATGCTGTTAATACTGGATTATAAAGAAAATTAAACTCTCTCAATCCTTGAGAATGCTAAATGAGTATTTAGGACACTATAGCTTTCTGTCTGATTTTGAAAAGTAATGTTTTTGCAGTTTATGTACTAGTAATATAGTCTTTTCCTACTTCCCTTTTTTCCCCTTCCTGGGTTGATGTTTCCGTTTTTAGGGATGTAGTAAGAACTCGGAGGGCCAGCATTCTCTGAAACACTTCCAAATGGCGCACGCAGAACCTCACTGCATTGTTATCAACCTCAGCACGTGGATCATATGGTAAGAATGAGTATGCAGGTGTTCATGGATGCTTGGGTATAAGGACTACTCATAACTTAAAGCAGTGTCTTCTCATGATATTGAGTGGTTCTGACAGGTAAAATGAGTGCTTTATATAGAGGAAAGGCAGGCTTCCTGGAGAGAAATCCTGGAGAGAGTTTGTCCTTAGGACTCGCAGAGGGGTCACAAATCAATACTAAGATAGAAGTTTGAGTCCATTGTGTTCTGTAGAGAGCTGGCTGGTTATAGGAGTTGGTCCTTCCGGCTTATTTCTTTGTGATTATTTGCGGGATTATAAACTGAGATTTTTAAAATCCATAAGTATTACAGTGAATTGAGGCTGATCTATAAAAGAGCGTGTATGGAATGAGAGAATTCAACATTTTCCGTCTTTTTAGTATGAAAAATTGTAACCCAGAGCTTAAGTAATTTGCGTAAGGTTGTTAGAGAGGTTTGTTAGAACTGGGAGGTGCATCCAGATATCCTGAATTCTGGTTTGTTTCTTCTTTTGTTTAGGTGTTATGAATGTGATGAAGAGCTGTCAACACATTGCAACAAAAAGGTTTTGGCTCAGATAGTTGACTTTCTTCAGAAACATGGTTCCAGGGCTGAACCAAGTAAGTTTACACAAATAGTTTTGTCTGGAGACATCTGTAATGTACTGACTCTAAAAATGAGCTTTTCAGATTTTGAGTCATGTTAAACATACAGTTGAAAAATCATGTATGATGTGAGTATAATACAGTTAGTAATTGCACGATTACTTGGGCAAGTGATGCCTGTCGAAACATAGCTTCATTTTAGTTTCCACAGTATGGTTACGTTCTAACAGTATTTTGGCGCTGTAGGACAGTTTTCCAAATTTTGTTTTTAATGAAGAAAGTTAACTGTAGAAAAGATGTTACCTTAAATAAGATGTCGTATAAATTAATGCACGAATTAATGCACAAATAGAAGCATAAATGGATTGGATTTTCCTAGTTTGGATGTGTCACATCTTAATTTTTTTCTGATTTAAATTTGTTTTCCACAATTAATTGAATTTGCTGAAGTGGGTTTACTAGTACTCTGTTGTTGGATGTAATGCTTTCTGTTGATTTATGTTACTGGGTTTTAATTGATTAATTATTCCTATTAATAGAAAATAGTATTAAACTGTTTTCTTATGTTAGGAGCCTACTATGTCTTCTCAGTATATGTAATAATAGGTAGAATTTCACACGTGTGGCCCTCAGCTGCCTACTGTGAATAATGTTGATGTTATTCATCCCTACTGTAACGCACTCGGCAGCATTTCTGGCTGTTGACTTAGAGAGTGCGTTGAATTCCAAATTTTCTTCACAAAAAAGCCAGCTTAAATAAACTTTTAAAACAATTGGTTGCAGTTTTCAGTAGAGTTAATCAACTGCTTAGAAGTAAGAATGGAAAAGAATTGCCTTATTAATTAGACTAGGTATTCCTCTAGCTGCATGTGCATAAATCCTACTGATTTTCAGAGGTGTTATATATTTTTTGAGAGGGGGAAAAAGTGAAGAGTGACTGAGAAATACTTTTTTATTAATATTTTTATCTAGTCACGTTTTATGTTATTCAATTGTAATAAATGGGTAAATTGCTATTTTTTGCATCTTTTTGCTTGGTGCAATGAAAATCCAGTATGCCATTTAACTTTTGTTCACAGCTTCAGTTTCAAGTTTACATGTGATAAATGGGTGTTGCAGTTTGCTTGCAGATGAAAATGCTGTCATGTTTTTTTCAGTTAATTTAATGGGAACAATTTCATTCTGGTTTTGTACTGCTGGATAAGACTTTCGGAGTGGTACGACTGTGTGGTTTATGGTTTCGATTCTTAATTTATGAATCTTCAAAGTATGTAAAGTTTTCAGAGTGCAGTGCTTAGAAGTTTTCTGTGAAACAAACTAAGTAGCCAAAATTCCAAACTGGCTCAGGAAAACTAAGCTTAAATTTGGCCCAGGATTTTTTAAAAATCAGGTGTTTACAGCAGAGTGGGACAGAATGTTTTTCTGCTCTGTATGTATTTGTGTTTCATTTTGGTACTTCATCCTTCAAATTCAGGCATGTGTCTGATTTTGAGCATGCAAGTAGCCACCCCAGCCTCTTTCAGAGCGCAGGCAGTGGTGTGCAGGCCTTGCAGGGTGGCTGCCATGACAGCGAGAGGCCTAGGCATGTGGAGGTTGCTCCTGCAAGGCAGTCATGTCTCCTGCTTGATGCCGGGAAAGGGCTGAGGCTCATGGGTGAGCCTACATTCACGTGAAGACCAAGCGTGCGCCTGTATGCTTCCAGTGATGCTTTAAAGGTAGGAGTCAGCGACCCTCTCTGAGGCAGAGCATGTGCCTGCGCTGATCCCGTTCTGGGAATGTTGGCCCAAAGGTGATTTGTTGGGTTTTCCTAAGTGGCAAGGAAAAGAGGAAAAAGCTGTTTGCCGGGCACGGGCTGTTGCTTTGGGCCAGGCTGCTCGCTGGAAGAGGCTGGGAAACAGCTGTGTATTGATAAATAAGTGGTAGGTGTGAGAGGGAATTCCCGAGGAAGAGTTGGCACGCTGGTTTCACTTTGATAAATGTAACAGGGATGCATTTTCTCTTTTATGTCAAATACTTGGGCTGATACACTTGGTACTTCCCCTAAAGAAATGTAACTTTAGTAAGATTTTTTATTTTCTTTGAATTAGACTGTCTTTAAGGATTTTTTGAAAATAAAATCTGAAATAAAAATGTAGTTCAAGCTGTTGTCCAGAAAACAAAGGAAACAAGGTGTGTCCAGAGGAGGGCGACAAAGCTGGTGAAGGGTCTGGAGCACAAGTCCTGTGAGGAGCGGCTGAGGGAGCTGGGAGTGTTCAGCTTGGAGGAGGCTCAGGGGAGACCTTGTCGCTCTCTACAGCTGCCTGACAGGAGGGTGCAGAGAATTGGGTGTTGGTCTCTGCTGCTGGGTAACTGGTGATAGGACAGGAGGAAATGACCTCAAGTTGCATCAGGGGAGGTTTAGATTGGATATTAGTAAAAGCTTCTTCACTGAGGGAGTGGTCAGGTATTGGAACAGGCTGCCCAGGGAGGTGGTGGAGTCACCATCCCTGGGGGTGTTCAAGGAACATATAGATGTGGCGCTTGAGGACATGGTCTAGTGGTTATGGTAGTGTTGGGTTGGTGGTTGGACTGGATGATTTTATAGGTCTTTTCCAACCTTTGTGATTCTGTGAAAGTGTAACAATGAAAATTAACTCAACTACTGACAACTTACCTTTTGGGGTTCTTTTAAGTGTAGCATTTTATTTCATGTTACAGTGATATTTTCAGTGTAACTGTCATCGTTTAAATTGTTATTTGGCTTAGATTTTTAAAATCTATTTTGTATATTCAGCCATTATAAAAATAAACTAATTTTAAATAGAAGAAAAGTAACTTGTGAGAAACAAATAGTGTAAATATGACAATTAGTAATTCATATTTCCCACTTAAAAATCAATCTTATACTTTTCCTCATTGCTTTTCTGTGTCTTCCTAAAAAAAGCAGCTGAAGTGAAGACAAAGGGAATAAACTGTTAGTTAATTTTGATATCAGAATGTGACACCGTGACAATTCATCTTATGTCTGGATTTCTTTCTGTTGTAACAACTGGTTGGCATGGTGCATCGGTAAAATTCAAATAGTATTGTGTAGAAATTTCTGCAGAAATGCAATATGAATGTGGATATAGGTAACAGATGAGGGCTGCTAGGGTTTTTTTTTGTTGTTGTTGTTCTCAAAAGTGCAGGAGTCATTTAGAGATAAAATAATCAGCTTAAACATGTAAGGGAGGGTTATATAGATTTCCTAATGAATGCATCTTGGAAAATAAACAAAAGCAAAATGCTTGTCATTTGGTACTAATGTGGTGGAATAGTGTGGCAGCAGGATCCCTGCTTTTCACTCGGCCTCTCATAAAGATTCAACTTCACTTCAGCTGTAAAAATGTGCAAATTACATTACTACTACATGACTGACTTTTGTAATTACATTAAGCGATTGAGATAAATCCCAGTGCTGGGTTCCCAAAAGAATGCTTGCAGCTGTGTGATTTTCGCATCTGATCCTATGGTTTGTTGTACCCAGCAATGCCTGCTTGCCTTCCCCCCCCCCCCTTTTCTTTTTTTTAAAGGAGTCTGTTTGGTTAAGAGGTCATGTTGGGCACAAGATGGAAGAATAAAGCAAGATTGCTTTCTAGGGTGTACCACCCAGAAATTTGTTTTGTGGAAAAGGTTAGCAGGCCATGATGATTTTCACAGAAAGGCAGGTGCAGTATTGTCCGTGTGGCACACTTGTGAGCTTCACATGGACATAATGCACATGTAGTACACAGAAACCATGCTGAGACATTGCGATCTGCATGTCTGCTCATTTGCTGGAGAAAATAAATTGGTTTTCAGTCTTAAAAGTGAATATTATGCGTATTTTCCTTTACAAAAGCCAAGTTAGACATTTGGAGACATAAGATGCATACTCAATTTTTTAATAGAAAAGATAATTAAACCGGTTTGTGTGGCAGTAGGATGGAAAGGAAGGATATTTATTCTCAAATTTTGTAGTAAAATTTATTGTTGGGAAGGTCAGGCAGAGGAATGAGATTTTCCTAGTAAGTTCAGCTGCCCAGGTTTGCCAGTAGGTGAAAGTTAGAAACTTGATTTCTGTTTCAATGGGTGTAACTGATGTAAAACAAAGATTAAAAAAATGCTTGACTTTACAATAGAAGTAATACGTGTATGGACTTGTATGGAAAAAACAGCAGTATGATGATTAACTTTTCAGATTTGCATTCGTTTGTGGATATTAGCAATTGACAAAAGATCACATTGAAAAAAAATAATTGTGTTCTTTCATAACTGATTTTCACTATGTGTGATGTGGCGCTTGAAGTCATATAAGCCCATTCTGTCTACTTAAAAAAGAAAATTAACTGGCAAACCAGAGCAGAACATGTTGATTCTCCATATCTGAGATACACTTCAGCAAAAAGACATTTCTGTTGTTGGTCATAAATTTTTCTTTCAAGTTTACTTACTCGTTAGGGGCTACTGTTAATTATGCAACTTGCAAAGAAATGAAAACTGAATCATTGGCAAAAAAATTTTTAGACGTTCTGTCATTTTTACCCACAGATTCTTCCCTTTCCTGTCCACCTACTTATTTACTTGTGAGGTTGCAGCACAAGTCATCTGAGCGCGGAGGATCAAAGCTGGTGCTCGAATAGCTTGCTCTTTCACGCTGTGCAGATGCGTATTTTAGTTTATAACGTTCTGGCAGAATCATAGAAATAAAATTGTGGCTGTATTCTTTAAGTTGGTAGGATTGTAACGCTGCAAGAGAAATGAGGCTTTTAAAATGTAAAGCTAGTGACGATTTCAGAAGGGACCTGTGCTGTTGTTGTAAGGGTTAGAGTCCCATTGTTGTGCTGTGTTAAAAAAAAAAAATCTAAATATTTTACATCGAAAAGGAGCGCCAGACAGTTTAGTAGCATTTCATAATACAGCATGATGAGAACTTGGTAAAAGAAAGGCAATCTATTAACCTTGCTTTTACTGTGGAGACCTTCAGCTGAAGTACCGGCGTCGTATTCAATAGGAAAGGCTTGACCTTGGAATAAAAGTGCATATTCCTGGAACCCTCATTTTTAATTAAAAAAAAAAAAAAAAGTTGCATTGAAAAGATGAGCAAAAATGCTTACTCCCCTAGCTGAAAGAAAAATTGGATGTCATTTGTCTTTTTGCTTGGGTGCCATCTGCACCCCCAGGCACAGCTCAATTTCAGCAAGGGAGGTACAGAAATCCCCGTGCGCTGCAAATGTTTGAAATACTGGCAAAAGAAATTGATAGGGAACCTGCGCTGAGTTTTCTGAACGTCTTCTGCAAGTGGATGTGTCAGCACTGTGCGTGTTTGTGCGCCTGGTCTGGTGACTTGCCCCGATTTGTGGGCTGAATCATTGCCGATGGTAACGTCAGGCTTAGAAGCCTCAGTCACATACCCGTAAGGCCGGTGCTGTGCAGCTGTGGGACAAAACGCTGTTCCCTGCCTCCGGAGAGCTTCCCAGATGACCACAGGTGAGCAGAAGTAGGTTAGGAAAA